ACGAACGAGAAGGAGGACAAAAATATAGTGGATAGAGTATACGGCGAGAGGAATTTGAAATTTGATAATGAACTGGATAAATTCAGAAGGAAGCCACAAGTTTCAATAAATCCTCAGCTGAGAATCGATCACTACTACTCCTACTTACCAAGATATCTACAAAATGAACTATCCCGTCCTAAAATTTGCTTGACCATCTCTGGAAAACAGGCTTGACCTCTTAAATTTAAAATAAGGCTTTGGTAGATCCAAACCACGAAAATGGCCAAAAACGAGAGCAGGAGCAGCACGAATGCCCGCAGATGGCTGACTGCTTCTACTTATCGATTTCTTCATACAGCCTCGAAACATTCGATGCAAGTTGTGTTCATGAGGTGATATAGCTAAACGAAGAGTGAAACCGTGACCAGCAGCTGTTATCCTCTTTCCCAAATTCCTATGTAAGCCATTAACGCCAATCAGCACCTTCTACAGTCTCCTACAGTAGCACGACATCGACTAGTGCGCTCCAACACGAAAGTTCGCGTCGCTGCGGCCGCGCGCATTGAAAATCAGGTTTGCTGAGTATCTGCTACTCACCACGAGTTTACGTACGCAGTTAATTTTACATTTGCATTTCCGCGTTTTCTCCTAAATTTTCTTTTGGTTTTGGCTTCTTTGATTGCTTACTTTTAAACAGAATTTTTGTGAGTAATCGAGGCTAGTGTGGCGAGAGTTTGTGTTGATTGGTGCCGAATCTCGCGAGGGTTGTATGTTGCTTGTAGGTGTTTGTATTATCACGTTTGAGTAATGTTTTCCTACCATGGTGGTCATTTTCTGCTTTTGTTGATGCAGAATTCGGTCACATACTTTCTATTTAAAGCTAGAACAGCTCCTTGGTTTTTTTCGGAATTTTTATCTTGGTTTCCATTGAAATCACATGTGTTTTTGTTTGCTTCCGTAATGTACGTGTGAGTTATTAGTTCCACGCAACCAATCAATCGGGGGCAGAAGGTTTATCGTTATTCGTGTCGCACTTCAAGAGGTCATAAGGATGACCATTACAATGATAGTTCATAGGATGTACCATTAATCACTACGTTTTTCACGAGAGTGAAAACCAATTCGAACAAACTTATACGTCAACGATGTCCCGGACAAAGGCTTTGCGCCGAGTGTCGTACAAGTGAACAATGTAAATCATCTCTGTACGACTACCAAAAAATTGATGGCACAAAGCAGAATATGACCATTCGGTCCTATATTGACAAGCAACATGAACACCGAAGTCCGTAAACTCACCAGGACTTGAGAACGAGAATACTTCGAGAAAGTTCGAGGAACCTGACAACTCGTAGAACAACATAGAATTCAAAGCGGAGATCACTGGATGTTGTCCACCGTACACTGCGCCAATCTCCCTGTAGCTTGGTGACCGTTTATCCTTCTCCATGCCCAAGTTCCATTGATCGTTCGGAGTGGATCCACTGATGGTACGCTGTGCCATCGACGTCGCATCTGAACCTACTCATAGCTCTGAATGCGGTATGCCTGGTGTAGGCTCGTGCCTATATCTGAAACTAGAGTATAGCGCCTAAACCGCTGGAATGAGCTCAAATGGCAAAATGTGACTTGCCACCGCTTTTGCTTCCAATCGAACCTGCAAACGCGCAGCCCAAACTCATGCTTCGACACAGAGTGCAATGGATCTTGGGAAGTCTCAAAACTAAAAGAAAGCGCGAGTCAAGAACTCGCTATGCCTCTGTGGCACGGGGGGGCGGTGGGGGTCAGAATCTAACGATAAGCCGGAATGGGGATTTCAACACCGAAATCCCGAGGTCAGCTCGACCGCGACGCTACCGCGTCGACCTTTCATCCTACGGCTCCGTAGGTACGGGTATCCGCCTTGCAGGCGCGCGTTGCGCGAAATACAAAACACCATGTTTTTGTTTTGGTTCCGTTATGCGGATTTAGTGCCTTTAAGAGTAAGATCCACTAGTCGGAAGATGAGAAGTACTCTTGGGCGCAATATGACTTGAGAGGGGGTCAGCACGTAAAATCGCTTCGGGGTTATGGAAATGCCCAGTTTCAGGACTATTCGGAAAATGTCTTCGGTGTGTAGAATCTCGCGCAAGGTGGCTCCGGGGGGGACAGCCTGGAACAGATATGAATCAATTCACGAAAACTTGCAGTTTGCAACTAAGTTGGTGGAAAAAGGGAATCCGACTACATAACAATTTTCATTCCTGGCCTAGCTAGTCTAGTAACCCACAACCCCGATGCGTCGGCCGCCTCGTATCTTCGAGTCCGTCTCTGGGCATCCAAAGAAATGAGCCAATTACCGTGCTTGGGACTAAGAATCAGGTAGGGGAAGGGGTTTGAAGGAGGATGCAAGCGATTTGTGTTCTTCCTGGCGTTTCACTCCTCGCCTGTGTTTCCTATTGTCGCTTGAAATTAGCCCTCTTTCGAATGTCTCGCCAAGGACATGAGCGCTTGTTTAACTCATTTTCTTCGAGTTATTTCCGTTATTTGAAGTTTCGATTAAGCTTATTGCTCATTAGGTAGTGCCATTATTCGAATTTTGTAGCGATGTGATCGATTTCCCTCAACTATTCCTAATTGTGATATTGCTCAATGTCAAATTTATGCCGTAAATTACAGGGTGTCAAACAATGGGTCGTCGGATCCGAGTCCAGCGTAAAGGAGCTGGAGGTATCTTCAAGTCGCATAACAAGCATCGTAAGGGAGCTGCTCAGCTGCGACCTCTTGACTATGCTGAGCGTCACGGCTATATCCGTGGTGTCGTCAAGGACATCATCCACGATCCTGGACGTGGTGCCCCTCTGGCCATCATTGCTTTCCGCGATCCATGCAAGTATAAGACCGTAAAGAGCACCGTTGTTGCTGCTGAAGGAATGTACACCGGACAGTTCGTGTATTGCGGCTCGAAAGGTTAGTTTCTTCAACGTTTCTTTTTGCATTCATTGTTTTTTTTAACTGAATGCATTGTTATGAAGTTATCAAAAGCTCGCAGCAAAGCTCCCCAAAATATCAGTGTCGTGCATTTTCCTGTTGGTATAGGCACACAAAAAGTACAGCTCCTGTGTGTAAGGATTCTTATTGACTAGTTAAAGCAGGATAGCATCCTCCTCGGTTTTTGTTCCGCTGTTAGATCTTGATGAAACTGAAAATTCAACATCATCACTCAGTGGTAAAGGCCATCTTTATTCCCTTTTTTAGCCTTGCAATATAGGATAGCGCCTGAGAAATATTATAAACTCACATCAGTCGAGTTTCCTTGGCAAATTACTTTTGGCGTAGTCAATAAATAAATTACAATGAGGTCTTGATTTTGTATCGATTTCGGGACAGTGGAAATATCTTTGGGTCGTCCTTCTTTTCTATTATGTCCAGTCTTTGTGATGATCACAATTCAGTTGTTCTTCAGCTAGCGTTCAAGTTGGAAATATCGTACCTGTTGGAAGCCTCCCAGAAGGAACCACCATCTGCAATGTTGAAGGAAAGTGTGGTGACAGAGGAAAGCTGGCAAAATGCTCTGGTTCGTTTTGCGTATTTTTTTATAGTTTCATAGATGGAATTAAGACGCGGTGTTATGATTATTTTCTTTATCGTCAAGGTATAGTAACACTTTGAGCGGATTTGTTCCTGCTCACAGACGAAATCCGTTCAAAATGCCTGAAAGAAAGTAGCGATAACTTCCTCTTATTTCTTTCATCATATGATCTCGTGGTTGAATGCGTCAATTCAAGGTAACTACGCAACCGTGATTGCCCACAATCCCGAGACCAAGAAGACCCGTATTCGTCTCCCTTCTGGAGCGAAGAAAGTCATCCAGTCAGCCAACCGTGCCATGATTGGTGAGTTATTCAGGCTTTCATTTTTCAGAATCATTTAATTTTTTGGTTCGTTCATTTCTCGTGTACTTTCGTGTTCAAATCGCGATTCTTAGGATTGGTTGCTGGTGGTGGTCGTACTGATAAGCCTATGCTCAAGGCTGAACGTGCCTACCATAATAAGGCCAAGAGAAACAGTTGGCCACGAGTAAGAGGTGTTGCCATGAACCCCGTTGAGCTTCCCCACGGAGGAGGTAACCATCAACATATTGGTCATCCCTCAACGGTCCGAAGAGACGCAAGTGCAGGAAAGAAGGTAGGCTGTTCCGGCAAAATTTTTTTTTGGTTTTTGATCAATATTGTTAGGATATCGAAGGGATTTTCATGGTGGTGCACAGTTAGTTAGTCTATCTAAATTAGACGCTAACCGGAGAAGGGTATTCTAATGTCTGTTCGCGGTTATTTCTTTTTTTGGGGGTTTTTGCCCTCGTTCGATTTTTTCTTCTGATTTTGGCGAAATTGCATCACTGCAGCCCCTGATGCTCGCAACAGTACAACTCCAGGAAGGCTAAAAACTTTTTTTTTTCGCTAGCCTTGCTTGTGGGGGGTGATTCAGTGTCCTGGTCACAAAAATGTTGTTCGTTTTTCACGCTGGTGCTATTTGGCGGCAGTTTGACCGCTGATTAGATACCATTATCGTGATCAGAACGCCAAGTGACCTTTTACGTAGGTTTTTACTAAAATAGGTGAAAAGAGCTGCTGCGTAAATTGGCGTCAAATGAGGCCAGTACCTAACACGAGTGTCATATTCGTGAACATGACACTAACAATAAGCTATCCTAATGGGCGAGGTTGCACAGTGTTATTTTGACACTTCATGTGATTGTAATTTTTGATATTGCCTTAGTTTTTTTTGCAGTTTTTTCTTTGAAGATTTCAGAAGTAGGTACTGCACTGTTTTGATCGTTGCATCGTTCAGGTCGGTCTCATCGCTGCCCGTCGTACTGGAAGAATTCGTGGAGGAAAGCCAGTCAAGATCACCAAGGAAGAGGCTGTTTAAGCTTATTGTTTTTGTTGGAATACAAATTTGTTATATTTGTTGAAGTATAGCATATACATATATTGTTCAAGTTTTCGTAGTGTTTGAAGTGATTATGGCTATTCACTCGGCACAAGACGCACATTCGGTGGCTAGTTTTTGATCTACAGACGTACAAGGTGAATAAGCTGACAGAACTTGTTTTTCGTAATGTGTCATGGGTTGAAGTCTGTTTCTTGGACAGGTAGAAAAGTTCAGCGAGTCCAAGACTATCATCCTTGTCACTCTAGTTTGCCAAGTTACACCACAACATGACAGTGGAGAGATTCATCCCTGGACTGTAACGAGTTTCTAATGCTTATGGTCTCCAGTAAGTTTCATGTGGTTTTGCAGTTTGCATTAGGTGTCTTTGCTGTTCTTGAAGTTGTCTTTACTTTTATGGAGAATCAAAATGCAAAGAAAGCAGTCAAACTGGAAGGAAAGGAATGGTATTTCGAGCAAGAGGAAGTAAAAATTGCATTTCAAAGCACTCTTGCGAAAGTAATTTGTTGAGGACTGAGGAGCAAGGGCACCCACCTTTAGTTCCTGGTATGGTGCTTTATCCTGTATCCCTACCATGGACCGGATTCAAACCTTCCCAAGTGGTTGGGGGATGGAAAGCCCTTTAAAATTTATTTGTTTTGAACAACATAGTTTTTTTTTCATTTTCAGTGCATGTTTACTTTGACCTACATACATACATTAAATGTAGGCCCTTTATCAGGACAATCCCAGTTGGGAAGACAGAGAAAATTTGGAAGGGACCTTTGTCCCCCAACCCCAGCAGCCACGTTCTGGTCTGTCGAGACTGGAGATTAGGATGTTTCTATATTGGGAGTACGCATAAAACAAGTTTTGCTTCTGCTACGTGAAGACATCAAAAGGGACAAGGAAAGCCAAGAATACCCAGTTCTCTTCGAACTCTACATATTTAAAAAATGAATTCGATGCTAGTAGTAGTCGTAGGTAAAACCATCTACACTCTGGCACTGCGGCATCGGCTCAAATGCGAAGAAAGCTTTGTTCAATTTATCTTACGAAAGCGTTGTGTGTTGCGAAAAGGGATGGGAACTATTTGACAGTCAGATCTGGTTAGCAAACTATGCTGTATGATCATGATTTTAACAACTGCTAACTCTCCCTTCCTCAACAAGCCCTACATCTTGTTACCTTCCGATAAAAGGTCACGACATTGTTGATGTAGAAGGGCTTTATATGCGTCCGCGCAGTTTTGGAGCCTCCCAAATACATTTATCTATTTTTAACCCTTTCGGACCTGAATTTTTCCCCGTGGAGAAATTTTTCTTCTAGCTATTGTTTATTACTTGTGAGCATATAGGTATCATTATGGCGAAATTTGGAAGCTATTCGATCACAAACAAAGAAACTAAGAAGCTTTGAAAATTGGCCCACCTTCTTAGTTTTTAAGCTTATGTCGAAACAATTCGAAATTTCATAGTTATGCCGAAAAAGTTTATAATCTTGCATAACATTATAACCCATAATTTTGATTTAGGAATGGATCTACTTCAAGTATTTTAAGAAAAGTCACACTTACTTGGCCGGTTGCGGGGGTCAGCGCCCATTCATTGTGTTGCACTTGTACACAAATACTTGTAATACTAACAGCAACACACAATGAAATGGCAGGTTTAGCTCATAATTAGGAAGGGGAAGGTTGACTGAAGCAACCTCTAGCAGGATTAGAAAAACCATGCTGTTTCAGCGGCAATGCAAGCGTTTTGAATTTGGTGGTGGCAATTGCCGAAAGGCTTAAATTGTTTTTCTTGAGGTTTTCTTGTGAGGTTGAGAGAAGTGAACAGTTGCGATTTCTAAGTAGTTGTCTATTTCAATGAAGTGCGAGTTGAAAATCAAAATTACTTTTTCGCGAGATATTTTTTCGAGGGGTCAATCTTCCAAAGCCATTACACCTCCAACTCCCACCGACTACCAGTTTGGTTTGAGAATACTGCGACTCCTCATGCCAGTCTTCTTGCTCATGTTACACAGGAAATCAATGTAATTGACCCGAATGTGCTTCGTTGGGGGTGCGCCACGCACTCGTCATTTTTTAAGAGTCGCTGAGGGTTGAGTGGCTGTCATCGTTTGTACAGCTGGTGAAATTCTGTCAGTCTGGTTCTATTTATGTTGTGGTATAAGCATAATCGTATAACTTCGATCTGGTTCTTCTGGATTGCACCTTGCCACAACATGTTCGCCCAATTTCCCGCGGCCATTGCTCGGAAATAGCGCGTCCAGACGAAGACGAGAGCGGCCCGCTTTGTTTGGAACTCTACTTTGGTATATGCCCGTAGTTTGTTTAGTCAACCGAAGGCACCGCCTGTCTTTTTCATATCTCCGTGGGCATACTACCAGGGTCCTCAGACATCTGTCACCGCGAGCCTTGACGGTTCAGCGTTTGTAGTGATGTCTGGGAAGCTCTCACAAGTGCACACTATCACAGCATCTCCTCTTTCTTTATCTTCTTCAAAAGGCTTAGTCCCAATAAGACACAAAGTGTGTGCTTTTCCAGCTACGCTCTCACCCTTTGGTTGACGGAAGCCTTGTAACCATAATACTGAGCTTTCTGCGCCAGCTAGATCCCTGCCGGCTCTACTGCCCACTCACTCGTTCCCAATTACGATTTTCTCCCCGTTCTTTTGTAAATTATTTATAGGCGGTCTGACAGGAACTGGAGGCTGTTTAGAGGCAGGAGCATTATGTCATTAGTGCACTGCACGCAGTTTAATGGGGTTCGTGTGGTGCTGCCTTGAGTGGGTTCTTGAAAATACCTGAAGCACCTGTGGCATTTCCACAATAAAAAAAGTAAGAGGCTTTTTTTGTTCAAGGTTTGGAGAGCAGTGGTTATTAAACACCACTAAATGTGCTGAGCTGCATAAAAATTTCTGAACTGCGGAAGTTAAGATCGCTCCGCCCACAGTGCGGTCGGACCGCCCCTATTTTGAGTGAAGGGCTTATTGTGATATTTGTCAAGGCTGCTTCGACTGAGGGAAAAATTTATCACGTTCAGCTGGATGCGGGGCGGTGACGGCAGGCCCAATTCAGCCAAACGTGTCAGGGGTTGCAATTTTTAGTTCGGTCGGGTGATACCCTAATAGGGGCACGTAAATGGACCATAGCTACCGTGCAGTTGCTCTCGAATTCACAGATAGACATAAAAGATTTTTATTGCAAGCTGTGTACAAGAAGGCCGATGATGTGTGATAAACGGAAAGATAAGGACTCTATAGTTGTTGCGGAGCGTTGTGCACGGATGAGACGCGTACCGTCGACGACACGATATTCGTGTTCCGAGAATCGATAAAATCGATATCCGGACAATCGAGTGATAACGGCGTTCTGAAATATTAGCCATTATGAGCACGTTCTACCCAGCTTGGTAACGACGTCTAACTATCGATTTCTGCCTACACGCGTCGCATGCGCTGCGGCTTGCCACGCCCACTGCTTAAGAAGTGAAAACGGTGAACTCACTTGGCATTATCGTTGTGCATCGTGATACGGACTTCGGGCAAATTCGTTGATTTGCGTTTCCGTTGACAAAAACCGCATTTATAGTGACAGTAGATATAGATGATAAGTAAGAAGGCGATGCTGGCCACGACGACAGTGAGTATGATAAGAAGTTGGTTCACCTCTGACGTCAGCATCGCTTCTGAAAGCAGTAGGTGACTTGAGGTATCGGCTTCGTCTAGTTTAGAGCTTCTGCTGTATAATCATGGGTTTTCATTTCATGTCGTGACGTAGCCAGTTGATGAATTACGCGCCGCGTCCGCTCGCGTCACATACTGGGTACTCTCCGCTGGGGCCAAAGTAAGCAAAAAAATACTGTTCAGCCCAAGCCAGACCAGTGTAAGTTTCAGTAATTGGTGTGGGATCATATGGATGAAAAGGATGTAAACTGACCTTAATTTTAAAAATCCTAGACCGCGAGACAAAAATAGTTTCCTAGTTTGTGGACAGAGTGCCGAGTAATCGGCTTGATTCCTTATCTGAAAAATGGCGGAGTGAAAAGTCCAACTGTCTCAAAGATAAGGTTATGAAAGGAGGCATACATGTTTTGATGACTTCGTAATAGGAACAAATTAAGTAAAGATCTTTAAATTATAAATAATTAATATAAATATAAATTAATAAACATATCGGAATAGCTGAC